TCCATAATTCAATTTTTGTGTAAAAATCGGAGAGTAAAAGTTAGCTGCTAATGGTAGCCACCAGAGTTATCGCAGCTTCCGGTTTTGGCTATGCGTCAGTCTCACACACACACATTAACAAATAAGGAGTATTTGGGAGTTCCCCTCGATTCCATTGGCTCTGACGGTTAGAAAGATATGTCAATCAGCAAAATCGAGCAAGGGGGGCCAGAGATAGGTCAAATCCACCCAAATGACCCCAGAAGTGTTTTTTTGTGCTAAATCTCTCTAAAAAGGTCACATTTAACTTGTTTTGCATTAATCTTGATACAGGGTACTTATTATATGTTGTAGTTTGGATTCCTAAAGCTTTTAGTCTACCATCCCATCATCCAAGGGTGGTTTTCACTATAAGTAATTTTTTTTTTGGACAGACACAATCATTTACATTTTTTTACTGTGTTCAATCTGAATTTACTTTAAAATAAAAACATCTATATTGATTCTGACACTTCTACATCCAACTCACAGGTGTAACCTTGCTTTGAGAAAAAAGATTATTAATATAACCCTTTTAGAAGGGAAGATATGGTCATTTGTTCTGAGAATGTCATTTTCGAGCCTGAGACTTGAAAAACAGGCTCGGGGCTTAACAGGTTCTGTAAAACCACACAACACTGAAACATTATAGATTATTATGATTTTGTCCCCCATCACTTACATTGAAGAGAAGAAGGAGTCTCGTAATGGTCAGTATAAGGAGGGATAAATGTCCACATGAGCCACTTTCACGCCAAGTATTTTGCCGTACTTAGTTCCCGGTACTTAGTCCCGCCGAACTCTTTAGTCTTGGAACTGTCCTAGTAAATCGTGTTCACACCGGAATAAGTCTCTGAGGGAAGATTACGCAAATTAAGCCACTGACGTCACTTCTTCTTCTTCTGCTTTGGGTTTAGTGGCAGGCCACAAACAACTTCACGGCGTATACTGCCACCCGAAGTCCCGGAGTCCCCCCGGAGTTGGGGACTGGCTTCAGTAGAAGCTGCTGGTTAGCGTCTTCCGAGTAAATCGCCAGAAGCGCTGGAATTATGGCAAACTATTTGTACCATTGTCCACCCTGTCAGCAAGCCTTCCCATGACAGGGTGGACATGGTACAAATAGTTTGCCATCATTTCCTTATTATCGAAATACTTTTTCGATTAACTAAAATATATTGTTGAGAAAGGGACTATAGCTTTCTGAAAATGTACATTTTATAATCATTATGTAATTACAATGTATGGATTCTTTGAATTGTGTCCATGACAGGATACATTTAGCTGTTTGCATGTACTTGCAGTTAATTTATAAAAAGTGTGGGAGCTTGACCAACATCCATTTCTAGCAGCATAACATATACTTAATACAATGAATATGAAGTTTAATGGAAAATCTCAGATTTTTTTTTGGAAATGGGGGAGTCTCAAATGCACCGTATGGTGATATTGATAAGTTAGTCTCTCTCCGTTGGTGCACTGGGCTAATGCTAATAATGCTAATGCGAGCAAATAAAATGGCGGATTCACACACATTTTTGGAGTTTTACGGGGCGTGATTTGCAATTCGCCCAGCCAATCGGAAATTGGAACCTTTTCCTCCCCAGTAAAGTACCACCTCTCTAGCAGGGACTGAAAAGGGGTGAAAAGGTTTGCATGAACTAGGTTCTAGTTCCAGATCTTTTTGGTGTGAAAGCAAAATCCCAAGAACTATCGGAACTATTCCTGGGAAAAGTACTCCGATGTGAAAGCGCCTCATGGTCACCTGAATAATCTTTCAACATGGGTTTAATCTTTTGAGAAGGTATCTTCTTAATTTAAGTTTTAAGTTTTCCTTTTTCTGTGTTTTCAGGAGTCAAAGATTGTGATCCACTGTGTATTTTTGTTGTGTTATAATATGCATACACTGCATGTTGTCCATGGGCAGCTCATAGACCCAATCCATCCACCCATTAGCTGTTACAATTTAGTATGCTTAAAACACAATAGTTTGTCAAGCCACATCTTAGTATGTTTATATGTGCAAATGTCCAAGGTAAAAACTGAATTTTTCTAGTAAAAGAGAACATGTATGACACAAGCAATCTCCAATCTCTCTTCATGTGTGATAGGGAAACTCAAGGCAAAGCACATGTCTGATTCTCTGATATTGTCCCAAGGTCATAAGAATGTCTTCTGTGCAAAGCAATCCAAAACAAAAAGAAAAATATGTGAATATATGTAAATCTGCATTATTGTGGCCTCATGAATTGTGCCACCATCATATTGTTTTGAGCAGCCTTCTCTGCATTCTGTTCACAATACTCGGCAGCCCATGAGTTGGCAGAGTGGTGCAATCGAAAAGTTGGATATTCAGACAAAAAACGTTGTATTCTTTTGAAGTTAGAGGCAAAGGAGCACCAAAGTCTCTTATAAATACAGATGAGGGGTTGGAGTCACCAGTTGACTGCTATTTTCAAAAATGATGCCACCACTGATGCACCTGCTGACATTTACATAAAACATACATGCACAGTCAAACCCCAAAACACAACATTAAGCCCCCAAAGGACCTTGGCCTTATTATGCAATAGTACCTGAGTTATGCCAGGTCACTTTTGACTATACACAACTCACGTCATATTTTTTACCAATATCATGGTTGTTATAAAAAAAATATTGATGAAGTTATTATTTACTGTGCACATGCCAGTAACATTGTATGCTTTTTTAAATGCAGTTGTTGTTCTTCTTCATTACTTTTAGAAGTCCTTATCATTCAGGTAAAGCTGCTGATATATGAGATATTTACTCAACTTTTTTGTGAGGTAAGCATTGTAATGAGCTTTAATTTGGTGTTAGACATACTATGTCCCTCTGTGGAAAACAGTCAGAGAACTGTGTGCTGCACCCATTCAAATGATTGTGTATTCTCTGACCTGAGGTCATTGATGTGTATAGGACTCATAATGGTGTGAATTTAATTTGCAAAACAGTAACTTTGTTATTCATGAAGAGGGATCGTTATCTGCTCTAATTTAAAATGCGCAGTGACTCTACTTTCATGCCAGAGGAAGCGAGCAGGTGTGATAAGTGAAGGTAATGATCCTTTAAGAGCAATACAACAAAGCTGCAACAGGAATCTCACATGTATGTCATTAATTTAATTGTACTTATTATGTATTATTATAAAGTAAAATTATGTTTGGCTTTTCTTGGTTTTTGTTATTGTCACATAGTTGTTTACATTGTGTAAGATGGTTGCTTTTGTGTCATGGTTTCCACCCATTCATATATATAATGAAGCACATTTCAATATTAGAGAGCAGCAGTGGCGGTTCTAGACCAATTTGACTGGGGGGGCCAGGCTGGGGACAGTTATTTTCTAAGGGGGTCACAATAAATGAAGGACGAAAAAGACAAAGACAGTATGAAGTAATTGCGCATAAGAAAACAATGCAATACAGTTATTGGTATTTGTTTCAGTACACATATTTATTTCAGATACTTATAGTTACAGTTTTTACGCTCTAATGCAGGGGTCTCCAACCTTTTTTAGGATGAGAGCTTTCAAAAAATAAAACAAGTGGTTAGCCACTTTTACTTACTTTTGTTGTTGTTCTTCTTTCATTTTCAGGGGGGCCATAGGGGGGGTCCAAAGTCAGTGTTAGCCCCCCCCCGCCCCAGCCCATAGAACCGCCCCTGGAGACCAGATCTGGGAGCTGTAGCTGGCCTGCCATGCTGTTAGGAGACTAGAGTGTTTTGTTATTGTGCAGGTTAGTGACGTGTGACATACTCCACCTCCCATCAATCTACTCACCCCCTCTGCTTCTCTCTCTCTCGCTCTCCCACCTTTCACTTTGTTGCTCTCTCTGCCTGCTCAGTGGTATCGAGTCACACAGAAATGTCGCCTAATATACAGGAAATTGAGAGATTGGGCTTTTTCAAAATAAAAGACTCCCTTACCAGATGACATTTAACCAACTACTACCCTGACAACATGGCAGGTCGGCTGTATCTTCTGCTGCTGTGGGGAAAGATTAGAAGAATAAGAAGAATACGACGTAGAAGTCGACAGTAAACATTTAGGATTTGAAAGACTGCTTACAGCCTTAAAACCATAGCTTAAAACCAATTAGCCACAGAAGCTGAAAAGGATCCAAACAAACCCGACAAAAATTAAAAAGTTTCTTTCTTATAATTATTTTCTATTCAGAAAACTTGTTTTAGTTTCTTCAAAGAGAGGAAGGAGGAAACCTAATGGAAGGGGGCAATACATTGACTATAAGTTCAACATGAATGATACAAAATTAATATGTGTTAAATACTCACTATTAGGGAGTTATATATCCGGTGTAGATTCTAAATTATGTTTTACTTGAAAATTATAATTTATATAAAAAAATAAACTATGACTTTGCTGGGTTTTTTTTGGGAAGTTGTTAAAAACTACAAAATGAAATAATTACAATTAATTAAATCAATGTATCTGAAATAATGTAATCAAATTGAAGTATTGACCAGGCTTTTACTTGAGGGAAAACTACTTAATATAGGTAGTAATTTGATTTATGGGTCAAATACATTATGTAATTTGTGGGACATGATGCAAATAGATAAATAACATTTTAAAATAAGATCCCAAATTGGATATTAAAAAGTTAAATTAAAGTGACTATTAATGAATTATTAGATAATTATTAGAGCAGCATTATTTGTATCATTTAACAATATGTATTGACAATATTTAACTATACACCCGACGACGACCCACTTGAGAAGTTTGAACTTTTGATGTTTCTGTAAAAAGCTAATATTCAAATAGCACTATTTTATTTTGAAGGTTGTGATCGGAAGCCCTGCCTGAGATCCTGTCTGGTTTGACACCCGCTGCTCAGTGTGTGTGTGTTTTGTGTTGTGAGTGTGTGTACTCGGCTTCCTGCTGCTGCTCCGTGTCCGCTCGGTGTCCGCTCACCGCCCGTCTCTTCAGTGTTGATCGGCTCGCCATGGCGGAAGGACGCAGAGAACAGCCGCCCCATCCTCTCCTCTCCTTACCACCGGCCAGCAAGCGACCCTGCCTGCGCCCTGCTCCCCGAGGTCCCGGTCCGGGGCCCGGGCACGGCAGCGGGTGGCCCAGCTCCCGGCTTCGTTCCCCGGAGTCTCTTCTGGACTGCGCGGCGAAGGCAGTAGCGGAAAAGTGGGCCTTCGAGAGAGTAGAGGAGCGCTTCGAGCGGATCCCGGAGCCCGTCCAGCGCCGCATCGTCTACTGGTCTTTTCCCCGCAACGAAAAGGAGATATGCATGTACTCTTCGTTTCAGTGCCGAGTAGCCGGCGAGGAGGGTCCGTCGGCGGCTACCGGCGGGGCTGGGGGTGCAGGGTCCGGAGCTACAACCGCCGGCGGTGGCGGAGGATCTACCGGTACGACGGCTACCGTGGGGGCAGCCGGAGCTGTGGGAACGGGAGACGGGCTGCCTTTCCGCCGGGGTATCAGGCTACTAGAGACCGGCTGTGTGGAAAACGTTTTACAAGTCGGTAAGTGGGAAATATCACTATAACCGAGGCAAAGCTTTTTTTGGCTCAAACATTGTGGACCGTTTCCAAGTATCTGCTGCTGGATCTTTACTGGGGATGATTGATGGAAGTTTGCGCTGGTGGGAAGTATGCAAAGCGTCTATTTCCTCGCATATATAGCCAACCATGGGTCTATATGTTGGTTTATAGTTTAGAAGGCATACCAGGTAACATGTATTGTCAAATGTTGAGCTTTTATCGTCTTTTCCATGAAAGGGGAAGCGATGATACGGTCGCTGCTAGCTTAGCCGACCAGCTGCTGTTAAAAAATTAAAGGGCTTCCTATAGTGGCTTCTCATTACTGTGGCGCTGCGTCTTTGCCCAGTTTTGCTTTCACGTTGAAACCTTGTTTCGCTGTGTGTTAGGGGTTTCAAATAAATTCAGCCATATTTCGGGAATTATATGCAGACTTTTCTCCCTCTCTGGGGCTCCTCGTCGACGGTCGGGGCTGACTGGAGCCGTCCGTAACCCCGGACAGGGGGAGTCGCGGAGGAGGAGGGCTGACAGACGCGGATACAAAAGCGTTTTAGCGTCGGGGCTTTATTTTTGTTCGCGCGAACTCCTCTTTGCAAAAGTCGTTTTTTTTTTCAACCCGCCTTCGGTTGAGGGTGGCTTAGGCAAGGAACAAAGGCTGTTATTGGGTCTCTTATTATGATTAATCCAACGTTAATCCGAAAGAATCCCCCCACAGCTTTTTTTTGCTTATTTGCTGCTGCTGTTCGGACCGGACAAAGAGCACATTCGCCACCAACGTGGAAAATACATGCTGGGAGTGTTTGTTTTGTTTTTAAAATTAAAGTTAACCCCTAAGTAACGTGTGCAACGTCAAGCTGCCTTTTATTAGTGCGTTTGCCCGCAGCCTCTGTCGCTTGCTACACAAAAGGCTTCCAGTTGAAATGATCGATAAGCGTCTCGCATTTCCTGCGCTGCAGAGAGGCTGTTTCCAAACAAAGGGCCATTCCGCAAAGCTCCATCTCCGCTCACACTCTCATTAGCTTCATACCCCCGGCTTTACACATACACAAAACGAGCTCAGACAACAGGGAAATTGATGAGATGTAACCTATAGATTGTAAAAAGACAAACAGCCTTTTATGGATACCAGGAGGATTTTTCTTTGGCCATATGGTGTGAGAGCCACTGGAGCCTGTCTGGGGTTTCATGTTGCTGCTCCAAGGTATCTGGGGAGAGAGCTGCAAACTGTGGCTGCTGCTTTTCTCTCTCACTGCTGTATCTAATTGCATCTTATACATACTCATCGATTGCACCCCATAATTAAATGAAATTGAAGAACTGTGATATGAAAGTCAGATTTTCTCTCAGTTAGATTAGTTGATACGTTTTGAGAGTCTGAGAGAGTGTGAGTTGACATATTAGTTATTGGAGCCAGATTTTATCTGGCTTTAGTTCTGTTGATTGCCTCAAGGCTTGTATGCCTGGATTGTTTGTTAACCATAACTTTGTTGAAGGTTGCTCAAGCAAGTTTGAAGTGATGACCTACTTTTAAAACTTCCTGTCACTACTAACACACCAACCTGGTATTTGCACATGGGTGAAGCAGAACTAAAGGATTAATAAGGGTGTGCCCGTGTAAATAATTTTCATAAAATAACAGTTGTAGCAAATAATGGCAAAATGTCACTTTTAAAAACAATTTTAAACTTTGAAATGTTTTAGGTTTAAATGCAAACTTTTAAAACAAGTTGTGCACCCTTAAGCACTCCCACTCTTACCTGCCTCACCGGCTAATCGCGACAATCTCCCTCAAGGTCAGTCATAACAGGCAGGCACATGGTTTTGTCTTTCTGTCAACAAAACATAGAACAGGTTAAATAGCTGTGAGACATCAAGATAAGATTTGGCTTGTTCTTCACTCTGCACACCATGGGAACCAGTCACTGGTGGAAGGTTTACTGACTGACTTAACAAGCAGAACAATTGTTTTGAGAGGTTGGGCAACCGAGCATGCTCACCTCACACACAATGCACTCATTAAGTGTCGTGTTACACACCTGTAATAGACAGTCTTAAGATGGCTTTTCCCTGACATGGCATAATATAATCGCCACTTAAAATAGTGGCTGTACTTGTTTTTTGAAAAGTGAGATGGCCGTGCCTCATGTACTCTGTAATAGGAACTTGCTGGGGAGTGATTAGGAATGAGACAAGGCAGCGTGCTGACACATGAATGTGGATGGTACATGGTTTAAAATAGGGCATCTCCGGAAACCGTAGTCTGGAAAAAGGGTATTGAACTTTTCAGCCACATGATATGCATGTTAACTGGATAGATTGAGCCGCAAGCTACATTCGTGGGAATATGTCAATTCAATTTTGATTCCTGGGGTCACGATTCAAAATCAACTCTCGTTTAAAAACAATTTTAGATCCAGTATAGGGTGGATCGTTCTAAGATCACAAAGTGTGTATAGGATTATGAAGGATTTATAGCTATTTGAAAAAGTGATAACAGCGGTTTGCTATTTATTTAAACACTCAAAGACAAACTAAAGGCTGAAAAGCTTAAATATATTTATGTCAAAGTTCACAAATGAACACTTTTTACCCAAAGGTTGCTTTCAAAGACATCAACTATAACAACTTAAAGTTATACATAAAGAAATAGCTGCTGGTTACATAAATAAAATGATATCAGTCCCAAGATGAGGTGGGTGATGCAGCTCTCTCGTCTGTGTTTGTGACTTAAGGGGAGCTAAAACTGCTGTTTACCACTCGCTGCCGAAATATTTAAGGACATCCACCAAAGCACACATACAGAAACACTGAAAACATTGAAGCAATGAGCCCACAAGCTACGCTATCATTAGATATAGTTTATTATTTCTCATAGCTATCACTAGCAGAGCAGGAGATCTTATTTCTATGAATTCATCGTCGTCTTTAGACTTGCTTTTGTCCCCGTTGCTTCAAATCGGTGTGCCTTAGAGCCTAGTCTGGAATTGCGTTTGTTTTTTCAGGTAATTACTAATGAGATCTGGTGTTAGAGACGGGGGAGGGGGTTTGTGATCTGCCTTTCTACTGTGCAGGACTTCAAGGTCCGGGTCACCGAAAGTTTAAGACCAGACTAGGAGCGTGTGAGAGGAGCAGCACTATTGGCCCAATACAAGTATAAGCCAAACTAAATCTAATTTAAATAATAAGACCAGAGATGATTGTTTGCTGCTGGCTTGAAAGTCTTTCAAGAAAGAAAAAAACTCCTTGAAAAAGCAGATTATAATGAAATGGTTTTGGGTTATTTCTATAGGAATTGATGATGTTTACCATAGAAGACTCTGTGTACGCATCAACGATTAAATAATGAGTACTGGTACGTCCCGTAGATGCCCTTCACCCCCGTACATTAGAGGCCTTTGTCTGTCAGCCTCTTTTAACCATAATACTGACGGATTGAAGAGACGTGAGCTCATCAGCAACTCATCGGCCCATGTGTTCATAATAATCTACTCCTCGCTCCAAGTCATAATTAGAGAATAATCAAAGCTAAGCGTGCTTGTATTTGTAAACCCCCCCTTATTCGCGGCACATACACACACATGTGCGCCCAGGAGCCCCCTTGCCAGAGCCTTATAAAGTCCTCAGAGAGCGGGAGGAAGGGATATTAGAGGAGGGAGGGAAGGGGGGGGGGGGGGTTCTTAAGCTTTGAGTCAAGCTTTGGGATTATTGGGTCATGCTTTGTTACCCAGCTGTAGAAAAACCCCTTGTTCACAGAAAGGGGGGGCTAGGGAAGGGGGTCTGTCTGTGTGTGTGCACGTCCCTGTCTACGCAACGTTACATAAAGCTGTAATGGGTCCCTGACGCCTTTTGAAGCACCGGTGACTCTGACAAAGCGAGGCAGCAAAATTGAACAGGATTAAACTGTATGGGAGAGTCAGTGAGTGGGCTGGAAACACTGGGGGGCTTCTTAACTCCAAATATGTTAGGTCCTGAAATGTATAAAAGCTCCTAAGAATGGTGGAACTTACACAATATGTGGTCAGTTTCACACCTGTAATTAACTTAATCCTTGGCTATGCAGTATTGGATAACATTCACAAAAGATTTGCCAACTTTAGATTTGATTTAATCGAAGCTCCTGTACATCTGTAGCTAGCATTCCATCAAATAGGCTTCCTTTACATGCAATGAAGGGTTTTGCCAAAACAACATATTTCTCAGCAACTGCCTGTAAAATGTCAGTTCATCTACAGTTAGTTATTGAAAAATAGATAAACATGTATAGAAGTGGCAAATGATTTCCCCTGTGAAGGAATTTGAAAGAGCCCATCAAACCATTTGATGTAATGGGATCCAGTTCACATTTCCTTACAGGGAAAATACAAGTATATTGCATTGTATTTGCAACTACCGGTCATTTCCTTATCAATCATTGTGTTGATTAAGCTTTTGATTATTCACCTAGAATTAAGTTTTTGCAATTATGTAAAACTGAGAAAAGCAACACATTCAAAAAGCTAAAAACAGTGAATGCTTGGCAATGATGATACATAAATGAAATGATTAAGTAGCAGAATTGTGGGCAATATTTAATTTTAGCAGTACATATACTACGGACACCATTCTGGCACATCTTGGGGAATGCAAACGTATAAGTTTTTTTGATGAACCCAACATTCCAAAATTGAAGTGTGTAAAGAGCAACTGTTGATTGTATTGTATCACTTCTAAACCTTTTAGAGTGGATTTCTTGAGTTTCTGCTTGTTATCAGTGTATTAAGTCAGTCTCAGTTCATGTATGGTTTTCAGTTTTCAGTGGAGGGAGGTGTTGGTGGTTGTTCTTGCCAGTAATTCCTTAGATGTAATTTACTGGCAGAATGGCCGCGGGCTTCCTTGTTGTTAGAAATCTGTTGAGCCTCTGGTGTAAATCTGCTCTTTGGTTGCTCAAGAGTGTTGCGATTAAAGACAGAAGGAGTGCGGTGAGATCACCCTCGCTTGCTTCATCT